TTTGATTGGTTGATGTGTGAGTTGATTAACGAAAATCAGTACATATACGTTTTTGATTTTGTAGTTCGCCTTGATATTGGTCTTTTTTATGAATGAAAAATATAATTTTGTATTGTAGTCGTAGAAACATATCATAAACATTACTGTTAAATAAAGCAAGTAAACATGAATCCATCCAAAATTTAAGAAACTAAGTGAAAAAAAAATATTTTTGAATAATCTTAACAAATATAACTCTTTTAATTATTGATAATTAGCCGAAATTCATTCTCTTTTTCGCAAAAAACTGAAGAAATTTTAGATAATCTTCAATATACTTGTTGTATTACTTTCGATAATAATTTAATGTTATTACTAATAAGAATAATATTTATTTTGCACATACTAGCCTTAAGTGTAAATTTAATGGGTTACAAAATCGTATAATTTACAAGAATTAAGAAACATACTTTTTTCACAACATAAAAACATTTTTAAAGGAAGGCAATTGAAAACCATTGTGTTGACATTTGAAGTAGGATATATTGTTAATATTGGCAGTCTTATTGTTAAGGACTTTGTTTTCAAGACACTTTCAAGTCAACCCAAATGAAATACTCGTCCTTAGGCTCCTCATGTTCGTTGTAATTTCTGGAATTCGCTCCGAATGCGAACAATGTTTTCACCAATTATCATAACAATCTCCGTGAATTTAAACGGTTGTCTTCCTCGAAAACCGAATAATGTGCACTCTTTAATAATTAGCCAGACGACTCAAAAAACACTCGATTTCCGAGTATGAGCGAAATTGCCTAATTCCAGAAAGTCAAATAATTATATCAGACAACGAGTTAATTAAAAAACAATGGACAAGTCGGTTGATGTAATAGACTGGTTTCGAAATCTCAAAATTTTTATTATACAGAGAGATTAATCGTGACGGATCCACATTGATAGAAATCACAAGAAAATTTGAGAAATATTAAGAATGCGTCTTCATCATAGCAACCATGTTTTAAGATGTAATTAATCAATCCTCAACATTAAATCTGACAAGATGATCTATCTATCTGAATGGTCCAAAGTCCACTGGTACTGAAGCTTCAACCTTGTACCCTTCTCAGTTTCTACCCTATCAGGTTAATGTATTCAAGAATATGTCTGATGGGCGCTTTCGTGATTTCTTCTGGTTCCCAAAGTGCCAATTCTGTTCCCATTTTAGGTTCCAACCAGGGGTGGTTTCTCCATTGATTCATTTGTGCCAGTTACATTTCATAAAAACAAATTATTTTAAAATAAATAACAAAAATATAAATTCAATTTTAATAATTTTATTATTTTCGTGTTAATCTCTATTTTTTGGTACGCCACTGCGATCTGGCTAATCGCGTATACATAATGCACTGTTCTGAGTGAAAGCGAAGAAGCGAGCGGTTTCCGCGAAAGCCTGTAGCTAAAAAGAGAGGTCATCAGTCAACAGATCCGTGAAAAAAACAATATGCCTACTTAAATTCACTTAAACTACGTTATTTTGTGCATCGTACATAATCAAGACGTGACGTCATAAAGTAGAGCGGTCATACGAATATTTTCAATCGTTGATATAAAATAAAGATGAGATGACGATACTAAAAGTGAATAAATGCCATATTATTAAAATAGCGTGATTTAAATGATATAAAAACAATTTTATTATGTCAATTTTCAAATATAAAATAAAAAATACGACTAAAAGTGCGTTCACTTGTCAGCTTTTCTTGGTGAATTGAAATTTATGAAGGAAAATATTGGTCAATGCGAATTTTCACAGTTTTCAAACTTGTCGCAGGTAGAATGCCTTGATGAAGATATTCAGATATACGTTCAATATATGATTGCCCTGCTTGATGATTTTAAATTCAGATTTGAAGATATTCTGTCTATGGAAATACCACCATGGATCATAAATCCATTTGATGAAACGAAAGTGGAGAATGTGATATTACAAGAGAAGTTACTCGAGCTTAGCACTAATGAGGAACTGAAAGTGACATTTAAAAGAGGGAATCAAAAATTTTGGCTGCAGGCAAAAATACCCGAAAAATATCCTAAACTGTGGGGAATTGTGCAAAAGCTTCTGATAGCGTTTCCCTCGTCATATCTCGTCGAAAAAAGTTTTAGGCCTGTTACAAACTTATTAAAAAAAAAAGGAGCAGATTGAATATCACAGAAAGGGGAGATTTACGGTTATTCCTTACAAAACTCAAGCCAAATATTGATAATTTGCTGTTAATCCATCAAGTACATGCCTCTCATTAAAATTATATATTTTTTGTAATTACCATTGTAGAAATTACTTACGTTATAAGTGTTTAATTTTAATTATACTACGACGGTTATAACAATAATAATAGTGTAATAATTTATATATTTAAATTTAAATAAAAACCTACAACACAAGGAAATATACTATATTTCTTTTTACCACTCCGAATGGGACGTTTTCTAAATAAAATTTCTAACTTTTTTTTTTTTCGAAAACTATTAATTCGTCGTTAAAACTCAGTCACAACGCAAGTTTCCATAGATAGATCTAATCTTCACTTTTTTTTTTCGAGATTTAGAAATTGGTAGCTGCCGGATCAAGCTAAATTTTGAAAGTGGTCTACGAAACAAAACAGTTTGGGAACCTCTGCTCTAAATGAACGTTCTTTTCTAACGGTGCTTGATCGAGAGCAACTTTCAAATGTTCTCCCTTCTTCCCTCAACCATTTGCTCAATAGCATATGTACAGAGCTCTTGTATTGATAATTGTAGACCGTTATTAGCCATTCTTTTTTGACGTCATAGGGTTTTATACACCAAGAATAATAAACCCTTAAGGCCAAGTTCAACGCGTAGTCTATGACAAGTCACGGCGACTTTTTTATCACAAAAAATACAGCTCCGATCGATAATATTTTATCGAGGCATCCTGTTGCTATACCAACCTGGGCCACGACAGCTTCTTCATATCCCTTATTGGCACTTTTTGTCCACGTTTTGCTATGGGTGCTCCGTACCCAATTTAAAACTGCTCTGGGTGCTTGCGCCGTGGATTCGGCGCCTATGCCCGTAAATAGTCCTATTACGGTCTTAAATTCTTTCCTGTTCAGCATTTGATTTTTTCTGCTCTTAAATGGACTCTCTATGAATATTCTGCACTGCTTGAGTTCAGGAAGTTTCTACCAGATCTTATGTTATTTGTTCTGTTAGCATCCCTTTTAACATTATATGAAATGTAAGTTCGGGTGCAGCTAGACCTTCCTCAGATCCCTTCCTGGCTAGGAGATCTGCTTTCTCGTTTCTCAACAGCACTTAATGTCCCAGCGCCCTTTCAATAGTGGCCTCATTATAGGGCAAAGAGAGTACTTAAATACCTAGTTAGGCCAGTACACATTCAAAAAGTAGTCAGCTGACGTTGAGTGTTTTTGTGCTTCATAAGCAAACAAGTTTGATCTAAAAAGTACTAATGGACATTGCTTTTGGTTAGAATGCAACCGAATATGTTGGAAAATCCAAAAATCCAAAAATACAAAAACTAGGTACCGTTAGTCTTTAACGCTAAAAAGGCTCTAACTAGGTTATTATAATCTCACGAAAAAATTAATTCGTCAACTGTATTTGATAACTGGAATTATTGGTTCTATTATTTTGTTTGAACCAAAACAAACTAACAGGCAAAGAGTAGAAAAAAACAAGAGAAGACAGTCACGACTATCGACAAACCAGATAATCATTTTTTTTTAAGGTGGCATTACTACTTAAAAATGAAGTGGCACATTTAATTTTGGTTAGTAGCTTTTAGTAGTGTTTATAATTTTTCTTAGTAAATTTCTGTCAATATGTGTAGTAGATTTTCTGTCAGTATTATTAGTAGATTAAAAGTGCGCGAGATAGCAGACACAGTTTGTATCTCAAATGACAAAATGCACATAATTTTAACTGAAGAATTTTAATTGAAAAAATATTCGAGCATTTGGTGCCCAGGTTGATCACACGTGAGCAAGTTTGCACGCTGACACGTTTTTTTCCACAATCCAAAAGATTTTTTACGCCGTTTCATAACCGTAGATAAAAGCTGGGTCCACCATTATATTCCCGAAACGAAAGGACAGTCCACACAAAAGTTATCCATCTCCAAAGAAGGCAAAAGCAGTTTTGTCAGCAGGAATGGTTAGGACAACTGTGTTTTCGTCGGCTACTTACAAAAAGGGAAAACAATAATGGGGAGTATTGTGCCAATTTGTTGCAACAACTTAGCGATAAAATTAAAGAGAAACTGCCTCATTTGATTAAGAAGAAAGTGTTTTTCTATCAGGATAACGCACCGTCCACAAGTCTGCGATTACAATGGCCAATAGCCAATCTTCAGGAATTGGGATTTGAATTAGTGTTTCATTTGCTCTATTCTCCAGATGTCATGTTTTCAAACATGAAAAAATTGATCGACGGTAAGATATTTTTGTCTGATTCTGAGGTAATCTCTGCTGAGTATGTTGAGCGAGGAGAAGACTATAGTGAGAAATAAAATTTTTGTCGACAAAAACTTTTTTCTTTGTTAGTCCGCGTAGTTATCCAACAATCCTTGTATTATGCAGGACAATCCTCGGTTACCTATAACATCTCTAAAAAACATATCGTTGTAACATAATATATTAATAGTCAGGAAAGCCTGAATTCAATATAGTTAACAAAAAAATATATCCCATTAATAATGGGCGCCGTTGGCGCCTCATCGGCCTCTCTAAGGATGTAAGAACATGTAGTCCTTCGAACGAATATTTCAGCTCGCAAAAAACCTTAATCATCCGCCTGAACTTACAACAGCATACACACTACCCTCCTCCAAAGAATTGCAGTTTTTGGTAATTGTAACTGGTCTATAACATTCATACTCGTACTCATACACAACACACAAGTCTCTGGTTCGTCTTCACCGACAGTCGTGCCTTATTCTCTACGTACTCTCGCTGGTCGCCAGGCGAAGAAACCGCGGAGAACTGAAGAACGCCGCAGACATCGTCGAGCTGTACACAACGCGGCACCGTGAGAACCCAACATTAGTTAAACCCAAATTAAGTCGCGCTCCTAATGACAGTTTCGAAATGATGTGAAGTGGTTCGAGCATTTTTTTATAGCCAGTGACATGGAGACTTTCAACTGTGTTCCTAACGTCACTAAATCCAAACTCAGGCCGCATTTGACAGGGAATTTTTACCACAATGTGTCAAGAGGCATGCGACCCATCGGGGTAAGATTTATTTTGAAAGGATATTTTGGGCAATTCGTGTTCTTTGGAAAGTATTGTCAAAAATTATCAGATACACCATTACGCGGATGATATATGCATTTAATCCCTCAGTAATTTATCAAAACAAAATTATTATCAATTTAGATTTCTTATTTAACATAACTTAAAATACAATTCAGAAAAATTTTCTGTAATCACATTCTGCCCGAAAAAATATATTCATGATCTGCGTAACATCACAAAAAATTAATATCCAATAAAATGTTTTACCATTAGTGGACGAATATAAAAATTTAGTCATTTATGTCAAACTTTATACAATGTTACCCAAATAAAGATCTTTTTTCATCATATTTAAAATTGAAGCTCATGCCATCTCTAAAATTTGCTACTGTGTAAATGTAAAAGTTTTACATTTATCCAAGTTTAAGAAGAGATTATTACTTGTTCACCAATCAACTATTTTATTCAATACTACTTGAAGAAATAAACAATGTAATCCAGAAGTTACATTTGAGTAAATTTTCAAGCAAATAGTAAATGTTTGCACTTTAGTGATGTTGAAAGATCATTGGTAAATAATAAAACAGTATTGGTCCTAAATTGGACCCTTGAGGGACATTTGATGTAGGGCAATACGTTCTAGAATAGAAAGCGTTGTAAGTAACAAACTGCCCCAGTTATATAAATATAATTTTATTAATGTAATAAGAGAATCATATTTTGTGGTTAATCCTATCAAAAGCCTTAGAGACATCAACCTGTTGTGTACTGTCCACAGCTTCAGCTATGTACTGAGTATAATTTCTACAAGATTGGAAGTGGTGAATCTTTGTCGCATGAAGCCGTGCTAATTTATTTGGTTATACATTGATGTCTGCCTCTAAGACCTTGGTAAAATTGTTTAAAATCGATGTTGGACAATAATTTTTTTTGTATTTTTATTATTTTCCATTTTTGAACACAGGACAGACTCTATATACTTTCCATACATCAGGAAATACATAATTTTGGACAACTGATAGAACATTTTAAATATTGGCGTTACAATCACAATCTCTTAAAAGAGAATTTTGTCACTTTCCGGTGTGAATTTATTTAGAAATTTATTAATTCAATGGAAATTCAGTTTTTAAGTTGAGAGTGCTTAGACGATCTTTCCATCAAACATTTCTTTGTCTGAATGTCCAGTGTACCAAATAGAAAGAGAACATTGTAAGCTATCCAATGAATCCATCAAAAATATTCTCACAAAAAATACTACCATATGCATAAACATTTTTAATGACAATATATTCAACAAAATTTGAAGTAATCTCTTTAACTAGGTAACCTAAATGAACTGTTATAATATTGTACTCCTCCGCTCATAACCCTCGTGGTTAATGCAGCCTTTACCTGTCAGTTATTAATACATAACATTCTATGAAAATTTTTAAACAAATTTTTCAAAATTTCAAAATATTTAAAAAAAAAAATTTAAATCTATTATATACCCGCGTGAGTGTCTATTAGTGAAAAGTAGAGATTTCTTGCCAACAAACTTCCTAATTATTTAGCAAATAACCCTAACTACAATATATTCATTAAACTTTAGCTGATTGTAGAGGCCTAAAATTCTGGATTTTTTAGCAATTTTGGTAGTAACCAAAAAGAGATCAATTATTTAGATATTAAAATCCTATAACATTTGATTTTTTTGAGAAACATTTTGTTAAAATTGACCAGTAAACAAAATATAAACATATAAAAGCAAACCAGTGGAATTTTGCATAATAAAATACTTACTTTCAGTTCGTAAGTCGTACATAGCAACGAACATCAATGTTGACGGTATCCTATTAACCTCTTTTAATCTCCAAGTTATGCCGGAAGCTTTGCAAAATATTTAAAATAGTATAATGTCGTGTTCGTAAGGCGTTTATCATTTACAATAGGAAAGCCAATCTACTTGCAGCAATATCAGCATAAGCGGGGGTTGCAGGTTGCCGAGATAGCAGTTGCAGTCAAAGTACAACATTTTTAAAAAATTGCCCGATTTGAGATTCAATTTAGATTAGTTGATAGAATTAAATAGTTATTAAGAAAATATGATTTTTTAATTTTAAGAAAAACTACTACACATCAAAAATATTACCTTCAATAAAAACAAATTAATTAACTACTTAATTAAAAATAACAAATTCTGTAAATGATTGTTAAACAATTTCAACACTCTATATATTATAAAACCTGTCATAGACGTTGACGCTTTTGTTGAGAAGGTAAAGAATTACAACATGTGAAACATTTAAAAAACCGAATTCGATGTTTCCATCTAGTAAAAGCAGGGGTTCTCTTAAAAAAACAATAAGAGAAAGTTTTAAAATAGCAACTTTGCCAACGAATTATTGGTTATTAAGGTCCGGACTTTTTATCTATTAAATTAAATTAAGTGTGAATGCTTTTAAGGATATCTTCAAAAAATTGTATATTTACCTCCCAGAAAAAATTCTGACGGCGCCCCTGGAAATAAAGTGTCTTTTATCATTCTTTATCATCGTAGGAAGCCTATCTTCGGAATAAAAACTAACATCAAGCCACAGAAAGGTACGGTTTTATTGAGCCAAAGCAAATTAAATAAATACATTTTGGAAATAATTTAATAATCTAAATTACGGAACCAGAAATAAATCAGTTAACAGGATTCAAAATTGGATTGCGCTGGTCTGCCGTTATATCACATCGGATATGAATAAAAATATTGAATATCTCGGTGTTGTGTAGCTTATTCGTTTTTACGGTGCTTTACACGCTCTGACTGGTTTGCTATCGGTGAGTCTTTGTGCGCGACAAATCAATGTGAAACCATTAGTTCAGCTGCTAATTTCAAGATGAAATTTATACATTTTATGGTTTTCAATTATAACTATGATGAGTTTTGACTGTTCGATAGGTTTTAAAGAAAGCAAACATTGGAATAGATTAAGTATTACAACGTGTAAGACATCCTGCAGAATACGAGGATACATCATAAAATTTTTAGAACGAGATGGAAAAAATAACTTTTAGCCAAATGACGGCTATTAGCTTAGAATTCTTCGTTTAATCTGTCTAATAAAGAAGCGTAATATTTACCTGTTATCCTTCCGTGTAGCTTCAGATGGAGTTAATTGAACTCCATGCAGATGTTTTGAAAATTCAGTTTCGTACCTTTTACGTGAGATATGTTTCTAAATATAAGTTTGTTTTTGTTTTGTTTGAGTATTTTTATTAGGCATTATTGACTAAGAAGGCTTTGATTATTTTTAGAAAAGTATTACAAGTTAACGTGACGATTTATTACACCATTTTAGACTAGCACTAACATTAAAGTTCACTGACTAGCTCAAATGGTTTCTTTCTTCTGAAACTTCTGTTAAGTGTAGGGTTATCAAATGCAGTACTTCTTCGTTGAAGAGGGTGAAGTCGACTATCATATTTCGCAGCAGATCTCTTTATTTTTTCTTCAATAGAACCAAGATCCAACTAAGATGCATCAACGATGCATCTTAGAACTTTATGTTGATATTGCTTTTGCTAGTACATCCCCATAACTGGATGCGATAAATCCAGACTGATTTTAAAATTTGTTTATAAATCAACATTATATGGTACACTAACAGCTTGGGTTTTCTTCTTAGGAGTCAATACATTTTTTTGAATTTAACATCAAGTTCTTTATATAAATATTTATATGCTCTTTCCATTTAAGCTGTAGGGGGATTGTGCCTGAGATGGCATACTTTTTGTATGAGCCGATATTTTTTCTGTTCTGTTTATTTTTTTAATTAATCTCTACACGTAACAACAACTGATTAGGGTATAATATAAAAAAATTGATTTTTACTGTAACTGAAAAAAAAGTGTACCTGTGCCATCTCACACTGATATATGGGGTAAGATGACATACTATGCCATATCACCCAAAAACCTTCGTACGTAATGCAAAGTAACATTTTATTAATATGGATTGTTAATAGAAAACAAAACGAACTTATAAGAACACAACATAAATGCACATAAAAACACATTTATAGTAGGAAGTTAAAGTTAAATATACCTAACTAGTGGTATTTTGAACCGCAAACAAAATTTTTTTAGAACTTTAAACAAATATAAATAAACAACGTTAAAAAAGTCCGTCTTAATAGACATCGCAAGTGAACTGCTTAACTCTTTTGTTGACCCCGGCACACTCGGAATGACACCATTGATTGCATTTCTGACGGCTAATCCAGTCTTCATTTGAGCGAGAAAAAGAATAAAGGTCGTTGCAGTATAGGCAAGCAGCATCTTCTTCTTCTTCGTTATCTTGTAGTGGAAAGTCTTCTATTTCTTCTTCACTTTCTTCAACAAGGCTGAGAATCATCTAACTTACCATTTGAACAACCAGAAACTGACGGCTGCAGGTTATCAAATTCATTGATTTCTGTAGCTGTTACATTTTCTTGTTGATTAGTAACTTCTGCAGGTTGAAACATCCAATCTGGAAAGATGTCTTTATTTAGTGGATAAATGCTGGTCTTAGAAAATGCGTTTACAGCAATTTCTGTTGTTGCAGCTTTATTGTAAGCTTCTCTCAATATACCACCGACTTGAAAATGTGTCACCGTTCTTCCAAGATTGGACTTAAGCCAACGAAATAGTCATCAGTGAACCGAAAAAACAAACGTCTAAAGGTTGCACCCTGTGTGTGCAATGAGGAGGAAAACAAAATATGACAATACCGTTGTCTTTTCCATATGTCAGAGCTTCAAAATTTTTGTGGCTGCTGTGTCCGTCTAAAAGAAGGAGAACTTTATTTGTAACAGGTGGCTTGACATACTTGACAAAACGTTTTAAATATTTTAAAAAAGTTTATCCTGTCATCCACCCACTTTCTTGGGCTAAACCCAAAATTCCTACTGGAGCTTGATCCATTAGCTCATACTTCATATTTTTTCTTGGGAACAATAAAACAGGTGGCACGTAAGTTACAA